AATCAATCACTACTCCACGTATTCCGTAATGAAGGCGTCGGTGGTCGAGCGGTTCAATCGTACGTTGAAGAACGACATGTGGAAGATGTTTACGCTCAACGGCACGTACAAGTGGGTCGACGCGCTGCCGCGTCTCGTGTCGGATTACAACGCGCGCAAGCATCGCACCATCGGCATGAGGCCCGCCGACGTTACCCCCGCTGTCGCCGAGAGACTCCTGGGCACGGTGTACGGCGCGATAAAGATCGCCGGTCCCGCGAAGTTCAAAGTGGGCGACGCGGTACGCGTGAGCAAGTACAAGACGATCTTCGAGAAGGGCTACACGCCGAATTGAACCACGGAGGTGTTTCGAATCGTCAGAGTGCAGAGGACCAATCCCGTGACGTATCTCTTGGAGGATTACCGCGGCGAACCGGTCGCCGGAGGATTCTACGAACACGAGTTGCTTCGCGTCGCTGATCCCGACGTGTATCTGGTTGAAAAGGTGTTGCTCAAGAAGAGAGACAAGGTGTATGTCAAGTGGCTGGGATTCGACGGATCGCACAATTCGTGGATAAATAAACGAGACGTCGTGTGAATAATAATAATTTTTAATCGTATAACATATATATCAAAGTATGTATATTTCAAAAATAAATATACCATTATATCAAAAATATCGTTGTAGTTCTTTATTCCTTTCAACTCTCTCTCTCTCTCTGTAACGTTACAGGATACATACGTACATACATACATGCGAATGACTGCGGAGTACAAACTCAGTATATAACTCAATACACATAAAAGTACAAGTCTAGGTACGAGTATAAGTAAAACTCAGTCAACCTCAACACTCGATACGTAAGCCTCAATACATAATACTCGATACGTAAAACTCAGTATAAAACTCAATACATAATACTCAATACGTCTAGGTAAAACGGAATATACAAGATACATGAAACTCAATACGTATAGGTACAACGCAATATACAAGACACATAAAACTCAATACGTCTAAGTACAACGCAATATACAAGATACATAAAACTCAATACGTCTAAGTACAACGCAATATACAAGATACATAAAATTCAATACGTCTAAGTACAACGCAATATACAAGATACATAAAACTCAATACGTCTAAGTACAACGCAATATAAAAGTACGTAAAAGTATATGTACATAACACTCGAGCTACACTATCCGGTAATGCCCCCACGGTAAGGTGTTCGTCGAGTCCGGTACGACGTACCGTTTGTCGTCGTACGGACTCAGAGCGATCTTCTTCTCCGACACCGTGTACACCCGGTCGTATGCACGCCTGCCTGCACGTCATTTCGATATCCTCCTTCAGACACCGGGTGTAATCCTCGAACGATATCGTCCGCACTACGACGCTGCTCTTCACCCCCTTCGCCTTCTTCGTGTCCCTTTTTCCGTCGACGCGCAGAGCGTACATCTTCGCTCTGAGCCCGACGAACTCTATCATGATGGCGCCGTTGTTCTCGTCCTTCATGAGACCGGGCACCTTCTTGTTCGCGAGGGTCATACCGTACGCGTTGTTCGCGGGATAGTCGCTCGTGTCGAATCTGTCTATGTCGCGTTTCATTGTTTCGTACACGTCGTCGCATTCTACACGGTAGATCAGACTGTCCGTGTCGGTGTACACGATCTCGCACCTATCGCGAAACAGCGGCGTCATGTAGTCGTGGTAAAACTCGTACAGGCACGTTTTCGAAATGTTCAGGATGCACATACCCAAGTAGATAGGCTTGTCGAATTTCACCTCGAGTTTCCGCAATTCGACCGCTATCAGGTTCTCCGC